TCTCAATTCCTTCCCCTGTAATGAAAAACATCATTGTCGTCAAGGCCAGCATCAGGTGTGTGCACACGGATGTGAATGTGTGTGTGTGTTCGTGTGTGAGTGTGTGTGTGCGTGGGAGGTGGGGGTAGCTCCCACTCAGCCACGTCAACTCAAACTCGATGGCTTTCTAAATTAAAAAAAAAAAAGAAGAGAAAGAAAGAAAAAATGCTCCCAGGGACTTTGCTGCATTCCACTTCATGAGCACAAACAAACGGACCAAAAAGCCATTCTGGAGGGAGGAGTGGGAGTGGGAGTGGAAGGGGAGGAGAGGGGAGGGGAGGGGAGGCAAGCAGAAAAAAGCCCCTTAAAAAACAGACAGAGGTAAAGAGGAGAGAGGGGGGATAGGAAGCAGGAAGGCAAGCAGACGGAGCTGAAAAACCAAAGTGACTCCACTACCGATAATGAGCGGATCATTTAAAAAGCCCTCCTTAAATTGCCTTGAGGAGGAGAAGACAGAGGGAAAAGGCTTGAAAGGTTTTGAGAGATTTTTTGGGTGATGGACGGAGTGGTGAAGGGAGGCGGTGGAGGAGGAGGAGGAGGAGGAGGAGGGCGGGGGTTACAGGAGAGAGCAGAGGGACGTGTAAACATGTTGGGCTGGGAAACGTGTACAGTAAACGCACTGAGACGTATGGTTTGAGTGAATCTGTGCAGGTCAGAGGTGCAGTGGGCCACTTGAGCCCACAGCATCAGTCAGGCTTGTGCGTATGACCGACATGTACACATCTGATGAAGTGCAATTATTTTTTTTTAATGCTACAAATTAAAGAAAAATGCCCATAAAGCTGTAGGGATAGCTCAGGATTTGCTATATTTTCTTTCAATCAAAAAAACAAATTTGTCTTTTGCAGGTCATGGCCACAGAAGGCAGCCGTAAAAAAGTGTAGTCTGCACTACTTAGCCAAGACAAAAAAAGACAATAGAATGGAATTTGTCAGTGCAGTGAAATGAAGGTAAATGAAATAAAATACAGACGCTGAGCAAAAAAAAAAAAAAAAAGAGAAGTCAATCCATTTGGCCCAGATTAAATTAAATATCTTTTCTTGACCTTGTGCTTCAAAAACAAAAAATTAAGACATTTTAAGACTTTTTTTTTTTTTTTAGAGAGCTGTTATGACATTCTGGCAACAAAGACACGCTTATAAAAGTGAAGGTAAAAAACTGTATGTGTGCCACGATGCAGTGGCAACCAGCTCCAGGCCCAAAGGGACTCCAGTTAGCCGGCAGCAGAGTATCAACAAAGCAGAGCACGACACGAGGTGGCTGGACGGCAGCTGAGCCCACAGTCAGTGTGGTCAGCAAGTGTATTTGTTTACGTGTGGATCTGGATGCCAGGGCTGTTTTTCTCGTGTTGGGCTACACATGTGTGTGTGCTGTATGTGGAGGCAGGTGTACTGTATCATGAGGTGGGCTTGTGTGGAGGTGAGATGTGAACAGAGGATATTGTGGGGGGTCGCCATGTTGGTCGGCAGCTGCTCTGTCTGCCTTTCAAATATTAAGGTACAAGAAAGTTTCACTCTTTTGCGGCCTGTACATTTAAACATAGATGTAATTAGCTGTGGCCAAGACGCCTGACTATACTTAAAGTTGCCTTCTCTGTTTGTTTTCTGTTAAAAAACAAGTTTTGTATCTCGTGGTATTTTTTACGTGGCAAAAGAAAAATCATGTGTGAAATAAGCAGTCAGAGTCGTGGCTGCATAGCTGAGCACGTCTACCTGCAGACTGTACTGATAACAGTCTCAGAAATATGGTTTCAGGGCGCCCCTATAGCTCACCTTGTTGCGCAGGTGACCCATAAACAGGGGCTATAGTTCCCCGACGCAGCAGTCATGGGTTCGACTCCCGCGCTCTCCCCATTCTTCTCCCCCCTTTTCTGTCCATCTCTACTGCTCTAAAATAAAGGCAACAAGCCCCCAAAAAATACATATATGTGGTTTTGGACCTTTAGGGTTTTAACAAATCCAATCAACTTGCAGAACAGGACTTTTTATATCATTAATCATCTTCAGAGTCAGTTTCTGGTTCAAAATTGTATGATTGAATAACTGTAATGTTCTTAGTTGTCATTGTGTTGTGTATAAAACAGTAGTTTTACTGTGTTTAAGCAGAGTTGTAGGTGAGCTGGTGTGCTTGAGTTGCAACAAGGGGGGAGAGGTAATTGAAGAGAGATGGAGGAACTTAATAGATATGAAACAGCAACAGTGGAGAGTTTAGGCTATTTAGGGCAAGGGAGGGCTATTTTCATAGAAAAAAAAAACTTAGAAATCTGTAAGTTTGATACACATAGAGGAGTTTTTTTTTAGGTTAAATCAATGATGGGAGAGGGACTTTACCATTTCTGCAGTTCCCCTGAGCTTTTTTTTCAGCTCATTGTGTTAGTTTTACATCCCACGACTGTTGTGGTTCATGAAGGCAGCTGATTCTAACATCAGGTTCTCATAAACCTACTGTAAACTACAGCTCAGTACCAAACAACAGACAAAGAAAGCTAGCGTTCAAGTTCACGTTGCATGAACGTTTAAAAACTGATCCAGGTCCCACTTCTAAAGTGACCCATACTGCTGCTGTCAGGACCCTTTAGCCTAACATTTGAAGACATTGGGTATCAAGTAACATCATTTTTCAGAAATAAACACAATGATCCTGTAGCCAGATGTTCTCTGCTGATGTCTTCTTAGGTAATGAAATGTTTGATTTGTAGTTGTGAAAAGTTGCAATTTAATCCAATCCATGATCTTTTCTAATGTTTCTAACCAAATAGTTTTGGTGCCTAAACCCAAACAAACAGCAAATGACATGAAACACAAACATTATTCTCTGTACACGTTGACAAAATGGCAGCATCGGACTCCCTGGGGAATGAGAACAGGTTGGCGTACCTGATGTTTGGTGGATGTCTATGTTGGCATGATCGTCATTGTATAAAAGCAAAAACCTGCAGCTTTATACAGTTAACTTTTCTCAACTTTCTACAGCAAGCAAAGCAGAACAACAGACACACAATTAAGTTCAGTAATGCATTATGTATTCAGAGAGAATGAAAAGCGAGACTGTTAAAGCCCAACATGTATGAGTCCTGTCTAACTGGTGAACAAAGGGGAGAATAGTGGAGAACTGGTGGAGACCAAAACAGAGGTCAAAGTAGAGTGAATATTGGATTTCAATTGGTCACAAAGTCAAGAACCCAACTTCAGGTAAATGCTCAGAAACAGCAGAACATGGATGTAGCTGCTCAACATGACGATACAGTAGCTGGGTACAGATTACGATGTAGCGCTGTGTTGACCAGGACATCTGGAGAAATTAGGACTTCTACTAAATCAAAGCAGCTCTAAAGTTTGGCATCAACTACTTCAACTCTTGTAATGATGAAATATATAAAAACGTGTGGATGACGGAAAATCTTCTCACCTGACCTCCACACACCCAACATTTATTTAAGCACCACTTTATTTAGGTGGATAATGAAATTGATCTCACGCTTTGTGGACATGAAAAGCATGAACTGCCCTTAAGTTAATAATATGATTATGTTCAATCACCTAAAGTGGCCAAAAAAAAGGATCACAGCAGATTTAAGGAAAAAAAGCAGCAGAGAAGTATTTGACGAATACACCTTCAGCACTTTGACGGCACATTCGGTTAAGAATAAAACACACAAATTAATTAAACAAACTTTAAACAGACAGACACAAGCAAATAAAAAAACATTTCAAATCCCAGCAGTGGACGTTTCCACCGTGTTGGCCTCCCTGCGCCGCCACAACAGCTCACAGAGGACTGATTTGCATGGAGGGTGCTCAATCAAAACGTTAACACTGAATGTATTCGAACAACAATTTTGTTGCCCTTCATCATCCACTCCTCACTTTCTTCCCGTCGTCGTCGCCGCTCTCTCTCTCTCCCTCTCTCCCCTTCTTCCTCCTCCCTGTGCTCGCCTTTCTCCCCTCTCCTCTTTTCCTTCCCTCTCCATCTTGACACAGTGCACTGAGCCTAATCGTGGATAATTGGGTGGGAGGGGCAGTGGGCCGGCCCTGCCTTTGTGTGCAAAGGGCAAGTGGTCAAGTTAATGGGGCCCTTGTGTCGAGCTGGGAGCACTCTGTCTCTCTCTTTTTCTCTGTTCGATCACTCACTCGGCCAGTCAATCTCAGTCTCTCAGTCAGCTTCTCCTTTCTTTCACGGCTGAAGCTTTTTCCCCGCTGTTTCGATCTACTTTCACCTCATTTCCAGCTGTCTCACTTCCAGTCGTTCGCCGTGTCTTGTCCCATTTCTGTTTTCCTCCTCCTCCTCCTCCTCCTCCTCCTCTGCCTTCTTGTCTTTTTCCCAGCCTTTGTCTTTCTCTCTCTCTCCTTCCCTGTATGTTTGTCTGCAGCCTTTTCTATCTCTGCTCTCTGCCTCTTCAGCAGAATGTTGGGGAGGAGAGAACAGACCTCTTTAAAATATCAAAAGACAGATCAGGAGGCCTCGCTGGTCCCCCTCCTTTCTACTAACTCTCCCTCCCTTCTTCTGACAGATAAACAGAAGAGTGAGCCTGCAGGATTAGCTGCTGTGTACTGCCTTCCCTCCCTCCTTTATCCCTCTCTCTTTTCTTCCAGTGGAAGGGTAGACTGTTGACTGGGTTTGATATGTGTGTGTGTGTGTGTGTGTGTGTGTGTGTGAGCGCATATGTGTGTGTGTTACCTTGTCTGGAACCAGCTTAGCCTGCAGGAGGGCATTGTGTTCGAAACACAGGCCACAGATGATCTGGGCCTGAAGAAAACTTTATTACATCTGTGAGCATTTAACACTGGATCCTTAATAATGGGACACTTTTTTTTTTTGCAAGCACCTTTGTCGTCCGGCCCCCTATAATAAGCATTATGTTAAACTAGTTAAATATTTATTATGTGGTAATCAATAAACAGGTTTTTATTAATGGAAAAATGGTGTTTTCAAATGAGCAAATTTCAAGACATGAGCCCAGATTTCTTTAAGAATTAATTCTTTTATTCATTCACAAAAATATCACCCACCTACAAACTGAAAAAGGAACAACATTCAACCCACTTTCATTACAGTGAAGCAGAGGGGATTTGATACACTGAATGAAGGAACTCACTACACGAGGCCATGTCCACACCGGAGCGGACAAACACTGAAATATTTCACTGGACAATCTTTCTTGTTTCATCAAAATCTTCAAATCAAAAAATGTTCTTAAATGAAACCACGCTATTAAAAGAACACCTGGGCCTTCAAGCTTCATAATAACTGTGCATTAATGTTTGTTTAAATGCCCCTGCACAGGAGAAATGCTACAGAAGCAGCTTCAGTTTGATCCGTTTTACTGGACTTTTATTTTTTGATGATTGAGTGAAACTGATCTGAATGAGTGTGGACATGGCCCGCAACATTTTTAAAGAATTTTTCTAAATCATAACCAAGCTGAGACATCCCATAATACAGTGACACAAATCCATCAAAACAAAGCACTCCTGTGTTATAGCCCGAGCTGCGGCACAGATCCTCGTCTGTGTTCCACGCCAACCGTTAGATTTCTCACCATTAATGATATTAGTCAGCAAATCCAGATAAAGACCACGTGGCCACCTGCGAGCGACGCTGGGTTTGTCTGGACTGTCTGTCGTCACAGTGAGAAGTGGTGTACAGTGTGCAGTAAGCACTGATATCACGATGAGGGAAGTGACGGCATCACCGCTGTGAAGCTGTGACATCGCGGCAGGTCGACGGTTCACCGGGCGAAGATGTTGCCACCGATAGAGGCAGTGATGTTGCGGGAAGCAGCGTTTTAAAAAAAACAGCGATGCCCGATGCTGGAGTGTTTATAAAATGGCATTACTGTTAGCGATGTCACACCAGACAGTGATGAGGTCACTGCACACAGTCACAGTTGGGAGGATATAGTAGCCCGCGTATATCAAATGTATACAGTAAGTACTAAACCGTTGCGATGGGGAACATTTTCGCAATGCAATATAAATCCTCGAAGCACTGAAACCTCTGACAGTACTGGCTTCATGTACCTTTCTGAGAAGTTACACTATTTTTTTTCTGGATTATTTTTTTTCTTTTCTAGCATGAGGAATGTAAACAGCAGCCACTGGGAGATTCTGCATAGCTTCTTGGCTGTTGTGTACAGCAATGGATCACAGTGAAACATGGAAACACCCTACAAGGTACACTATAGGTACAAGTTTAGGCTATAGCGGCACTCACTGACACTTGCTGTTATTCTAACAACGCAAAGAAAAAATACAGGAAACAAGCTAATGCATGAGGAAAGACCTGAGTATTACAGCTAGTTTAAAAAGAAAAAAAATGTAGATTTGATTAAAAAAAAACTGCAAGAGGGAGGAAAACGTAGAAGCAATTGGTCTGATTGATGATTGAGGTTATTGGGAGATTGAGGGACTTTCAAACTATGATCAATTTGAAATCATGTCCACTGAAGTTTAAGCAGATTGTTTTTCCAGCAGCCACATTTAAGATATTATCTGGAGACCTTTTTTGTTTGTTTTTTTTGACATGCACATTCATGTTCATTAATAGATTCTCTGTGGCTGCATTTTACTTGCTGTCATCTTTGTATTTGTGTTTTCTAAATAGCAGAAATCAGCAAAAAGAAAACCACAACAATCCTCCTCCTGCTTCAAAGAGTCAGACAGGAAAATATAGTTTCGCTGTGTACATGTAAAGGCAAAATTATTCAAGAAAAAGAAAGATCTAAAATGTCAATATACTAATATAGGCAAGTACAGAAATGAACATCGCATTCAAAGATGCAAGCAGCTCCAGTGAAAATAGACCCAGCAGGCATGAACTTTGAGCAAAGCACACCAGCTAGAAGCACAAAAGACGTTACACAGTATATCATACGTTTTTTTTATCAAGTCCACAGTATTGGGGTCACTTGTCAGTAAATGTGGAAGGTCCTGTTTGTGTCGTCACAACTTGTGCACGTGTCGTCTCTTCAGACACAAACAGGCTTCCTGAAGGTTCAGACTCGGAGCTTCGAGCAGCGTTTAGCAGCTGCCACAGGATCTGATTGTTAACAGTGAGACGGTTGACTTTTAGTTCGTCGGCCCCACGTTCGTTACTGGACACAGTGAAGCCGAGGCTCAGGTACACACCTGTGCTCGGGAATTTCATCAGCTGCATTTTTTTTTGTTAACAAACCAGGAGTGAAGCGCTGATGGAACCATAGAATCAGATCATGCTTCTGTTGTGCTGATTAGAACCACAACAGATTTGTATGAAGTTAAACGACAGTGTGATGCAGCGGGGACTGCTGCCGTTGACAGCATCACTGTGTACTATACAATCTGTAGCTCCTGGGCAGCAACAATTGCTCCTCAGTCTGAACGTGCCCTAATATGCTAATGCACTGTTGTAAGTAATGCACAAAAGAAGCTCTTAATAGTGACCTCTGACTGGGATGAATGAGTTGTATTAAAAGAAATTAAAGTGGGGAAACACAGAGGAAACCGCGAGCCGCTCCACAGTCTGTGACAGTTAATGAATTAAAGCTGGCCTCCATGCTGAGGCCAGGAACACAGTGGCAGAGGTTAATACTGACTGGTTAAAGGGGGTCAACTGACTGAATAACTGACACCTGTAGTAGGCCAGACTGAGGAATTAGCTGACCGACTGAGCAACTAGTTTACCGCCCAAACAACTAACTGGCTGGAATGATGGCTGGATAACTGGTTAATTAGGTCACTGGATGCGTGACAGAGGACTGGCTGATTACCTGGCCGGTTAGCTCAGAGGGGTTGAGCGACTGGCCGACTAGAGCTCATGTGTTTGGTCAACGATTACTGGCCAACTGGTTAAAGGGCTGACTGGCCGAGAGACTGTTTTCTATACTGATAGCTTTTTTTTTTGGCATATGGTAGATGGTTAAAATGTAGCGGGTCAGAATACAACCGGCTCTCCTTAAATATGCAAACATGTGGAGTGGTACTGTGTTCAGCTGAGGGCTCACGTGTTTTGGTTTTACTGAGTGTGGCTGACAGGTTGAGGTCCTTTGGTCAAGGTGATGAGGAGAGGATAGTGGATGTTCTCGTCATATGCTTCTTTTCCCTCTCTCAGCATCTGTGAAGCACAAAATACGACGAGTGAGAACGAACAAAACAATCAACATATGAGATAGTTCATTTTGAATATGTTCTCTAATATTAACATTTCCAATAGTTTAAGCGTCCTGATTGCCAAGAAACTGAGCGTGTAACCAGAATATTGTCTCATTTCTTTGTTGCATGTCACCTCTCCTCTTTTATTCTTACATTTTCTAAAACCTCAAACAGTTTGTGGATGTTTTTTTTCTCCACAATTTCATTCAATGTGGGCTCATTGATCACCTTGAGGCCACAGAGCTACTTTTGCAGCTTTATGAAAAATAAACAACGATGGCCCAAAATCAAAAGAACTCAAAAACATCTTCTTTGGAGCACAAATAAATTATAATGCCTTTAATAATAATAAAAAAAGAAAGAAAATAGGTTGAATTTATTTGCTTTAAATGGAAAAAACAAGAAAATTGAAAAAATCTTGGATTAAAAATGAAGAACATTTTAAAGGGCCCATATATATTACCAACGCTACAAAACAAATAAATGTATTATTATAATTTCTTAAATCACTGACTCTGTTGCAAATGGTTTACCTGTGGAGAATTTAAAATAAGACATTTTTATAAATTAAAAGAAGTGATTATAATGAAACGACACATTTCGAAGTTTAAAATCTTTCTGAATGAAATCGCACATTACACATGATTATTTCAAGGACCATCAGGAGGGTACAAATCAGATGATTCTTCCTGTTTTTACCGTTTCTGGCTGATATAACTGGTGCAAATTTGATTGATTTATTTTTAGATAACATGTCATTTAAAACCTCTGGTGGACTTTGGAGTCCAGAGGGTTAATCCTTGACACCATCCTACTGTGTACTTTTATAATGACGGCAAAAATACCTCTGAGAACTTCAGTTTTTAGAAATTCCAATTGAACTTTTTTTGAATTTTATTATTTCTCTCAGTTACTCTTTAACTTCAAAATCCTGTTAAAAAACCAAAACAAATGAAAAAACACCAACAAGACAAATTAGATCAAGGTAGTTTGTAAAACTGACAACAGCAGCTCATTATCCTCCCTTGAGTTAAAACTAAAAACAAAAGACAAACAGTAAAACAAGTCAGTAGGGAAAAAATGAGCACTTTTATTTCAGGATTCGTAATTATGTTTAGTTTTAATTCCTTATTTGTTGGTCATATTGTTAGTTTCTGGCACAATCAACCAAAATCACACCTATATGAACAATATATGGGTTTTTATATTCAATACTACTTATATTTGTTACCTTCAAACAAGGTTTAAACCTCACAGTTCAGTCATCTCTGCATAAAACAAACTCTAAAAGAATCATTTGGTTTCAAGAAACAGCCAAAAACACAACTTCTTCAGGTCCATCAAAACCTTCTGCACAACCAGCTGCTCACAAACCCAAAACCACTCTGACATGTGAGAAGCAGGAATTTTTGGCACTTGAGCACGAAAAAATAACTTAAACAATAAATCTATCATCGGAAATAATTGCCAATTAATTCCCTGTGAATCCGCTAATTGACCGATCGCTCCGGCTCCAACGTAAATACTCCTGCTCGCACACAAATACTCTCACTGTCAAACACACCACACACAGCTTTGTAGGGTGCCCATGTGGTGCCCACTCGGTGCCCTTTTAAGCAGACTTGGCAGTTTGGGCATGCACCGGCTAATCAGCTCGCTTAGCGTCTGGCCAAATGATCAGAGACTTATGCAAGTGAGTTTAGTGGGTCTGCTCATGTGAGAGTGTGCGACTGTGTGTGTGTGTGTGAGAACAGGATAGTAGAGAACTGTGTGAAAAGGACTCTTCACAACAAACAAAAACCCGAGACTGACCCCGAATTCTCTTCCGTCAGCGGCGTGTAAGTGTTATGCAAATGACCCAAACCTACTCACGTTGCAAACTCAAACGCTGATTACAAGCTGTTTTTCCAACAAATTAGGCTATTTTGTGGCACTCGTGAGCATCCTGACAGTGCGGCTTTACGCAGTTTATTCCGGCATCAAGACGTCTAATTTTAAATGTGCTCCACGCGGCATCCCAAAAATACAACATTTATCATTTCTGCTGGAGTCATAAACTAGTCTTTTAACTTGAGAGGAGAACAATTATACTTCAGAGTTACTCCGAGGTGGATCTGAGTGAAACTAGAATCCCAGCAGGTCGTTCGCTTTATTCAGCTGACATTAGACTGTATGAAAAAAAAAAAACAAGTCGTCCCCCGTTTGGTTTTAGTGAGATCACTGCATTTACACAGCAGGGTGCTGATACAGAGGCCTCCAGTGGAAGATATATTTGTAGAGGACATTTAGAACTAAAGGTAAATCTAAAATACATCAGAATAACTACAAGAGGCGTGACTAAAATACTTAAAGACGTTTTAAAAAGTTTAATCTGGCTCAACTTTTGCTTGAGTAGTCCACTGTGGCCATGTTTTTGTATTTTGATGCACGTTTTCCCTTTTTTTTTAGTTGTCTTTGCTTCCAAATAACTAAATAATTCACTACTTTACTATTACTAATTAGAGCTTTCTCAACTGAAAACATTTCTCTTCATTTTTCTTCCATAGATGCCCAAAGTTTTGTTTCTTCTTCTTCAATTTTTCAAACATTTTTTCTTGTTTTGTGCTGAGCAAACATTATTCTTATTAAATTTCTTGCAACATTTCAAAAGTCAACTTTAAATTCATTTGATAATTATATGCAAACGCTGCTTATATTAAACAATCAAACATGTGCATGTAATGACTTTGTAATGTTTGTCTGCAGCGTCATAAAGCGAGCACATATCGTAAAAGTAGTTGTTTTATGTGTCCAGGTGTAAAATCTGAGAAAGCCTTGAACATATCGTCAATAAGGAGCTCTGTGTGATGTGTGAGGCTACCTGAGGTCGTGACACACCTCGCTCACACCTATGAAAGTGTGAAATCCTCCCTCCGCACCATCTCCTCCCTGTTTCCTCTGCTTGGAGTTAAACATGAACAAACTGCTCCCTCTCCTCTCTGCCTCCTCCAGGTCCCTCCCTTCCTCCCCCCCGGTTGCCCTTTATGTGCGTTATCTTCCTGTAGCCATCCCTCCAGGCACCGGCCACTGGCTGAACCTGTGACCCCCCCTCCAGAGAAGGAGGGAGAGGGTGGCAGGGAGAGCGGGAGTAGACGACCCAGGGGGTGCCTGGGCGTGGAGGGGCAGCTGCCTGGCCTCCCCCCCACCCCCAAACCACCACCACCACCACCAGCGCTAAGCCTGCTACGGGGACCACGGCCAGCATTCACATTCAAATTCTACCAGGCAGAAGGAAGCGATAGATGGAGGGATGGGGAGGGAGGGGAGGCCTTACCACGGCGAGGGCTGAGAGCTCGCAGAGGTGAAAAGTTTAACAAGCAAAGCTGTTCCTCCTGATCGCAGGCTGCCTAATCAGCTTCATGGGTAGCTGGCTAAATCGGCTCTCAACCCGACCCCCCACCCCACCAACCCCGCAATCTTTTCTCTTTTTTTTTTCCTCTTCTTTCCGAGGTGCAAGTCATTTATTTTATTGCCATTTCCACCCCCTCCTCAGCTCTCTCTCTCTCTCTCTCTCTCTCGTGCTCTCATTTTGTCTCTCCATTTCCCTTCCCTCCTTGTTTTTTTTTTTTTTTTTTCTTTGTCACCACGTTCCCACCTCTCAGCGAGTTGCAATTAGCCGGTTTTTTTTTTTTTGTATTATTATTCTTCCCCTGCTTGTGTCGACTTAAAAAAAAAAAAAAGTGAACAAGGTGGAAAAACGAGGAGGGGGCTCTGAGACAAGGGAGGGATGGATGAACCGGATGTCTGGGGTCTCTCTCGCTAGGATTAGGAAACAGAGAATGAGGGATTGGGTGGATGGAGAGATGAGTAGAGGAAGGGATAGAAGGACAGGCTTGAATAAATAGAGAAGTGGGTCGTGATGTAGGAAATGGGAAGATAGAGGGGAGCAGAGGGAGGGAGAGGGGAGAAGGGTGAAGGAAGATATGTCAGAGAAGAGAGGGAGGAGGGAGGAGGAGGGAGGAGGAGGGAGGAGGCCGGGCAGCTGAGAGAAACAGGGAGACGAAAAAAAAAGGGAAGAGAGTGTGAGTGCATGGACACAGTGGGGATACTATTTATGCATGTGAGAGAGACGGGGGATGTACACATGTGCACACACACTCCTCCAGCGTGTGTGTGTGTGTGTGTGTGTGTGAGAAATTAAAATTCATGACTCTCTCTTCACAACCATTTGAGTAACAAGATTAAGATGGCGGGTTAGAAAATAGTGCTGGCATTATCAGGCTGCTTGCAGTCCCTCCAGCTGCTTGCCTCTCTATTCCACAACAGTGGGGATAAGAGGATAACGCGCTAGCCCTGTCTGCCCGTCCCAGCACACGCCTCACACTCTAACACACAAACAAACACACACACACACACAGTTCTTAAGACGCAACGCCGCTGCACACCGAGGCCTGCCTGCCTGCCTGCCTGCCTGCTGTCGGCAGTCCCTCGAGTGTGTTCGTGTCAGAGGGTGAAAGTGTGGCGTACGTTTGGAAAAACTGCAGCGTAGCGAGCTGCAGGTCCAGAGAAGTAAAGAATGGTGGAAAAAAAACAAACACATGCAAACGTTAAGGCCGAGGCGGTATAGTCCAAAACCAAATCAAATCTGACATGTGTTGAACCTGGCACAGCGAGGAAAGCCGCAGCACTCGCAGCTACCGGGAGTACATGTTGAACAGCGCCGGTGCCAGATGGAGGAGCTTATGAGTCGCTATGAGAAGATGAAAACGACTAAACACAGCACCTGAATGAAGGCATGTGGAGTTACCTGTTTAAATGACACCACAGTGTTGCGTTAAAGTTGCGGCAAGTTTGTGTTTTTAGTTGCCGGCTTGACGCCACGAGTAGGAGATAATTGAGTGTGATGGCATCGTGTTATGATGAGGTTTGTTTATGCTCATAATTACAACCAGAAGATGCTGAAGGATGGACAAAATAAATGTA